CAGTCAATTTCAACTTCTCGCAGGAAAAAAACGATCTTGCAAAGTTGGAATTGATTGATTGAACTTTTTAGTCCTACCCAGTCTGCAGTTACCACCGCAGCCACGCCCACCCAATGGGCCACACCCACCCAATGGGCCACACCCACCTAATGGGCCACACCCACCCGGCACCCGATGATGAATAAGTGGGTTTTGGGTTGCAGTTTGGCACTCGGTCTCTAAAAGGTTTGCCATCACTAGTCTAGTACAGTGGTTCTCAACCTGTGGGTCGGGACCCCATTTGGGGTCGAACAATCATTTCACAGGGGTCGCCAAACAAGGCTGTCCGCCATTTTTTTCCCTTTTCTTTGGCCACGCCCCTGGCACCCAGTGATGTATAAGTGGTTGGGGGTCACCACAACATGGGGAACTGTATTATGGGGTCGCGGCATTAGAAAGGTTGAGAACCACTGGTCTAGTAGGTCTTCCTAGGGATTTTTCCTACACATCTTGAAGTAATTGCTTCTCCTCCCCTTTTTGGACTGCCACACTTGCTTCCAAGCCATGCCACCATGCCAGAAATAAATTAGGCTGAGGTTCAGGTCACACCATGGAGGGAAGTAAACCTTTAGACCAGAATGGATGGGGAAATGCCCAAAGACAGCTGAAGCAGGAAGAATCATGGCTGGATTACAAAAATAGATTGTTGGTGTGATTTTGCATAGCAAAAAATGCTGGTAGGCTTTCCCACTTCAGAGAAGAGGAGGTTAGGTGGGACTCCTATGATGGTGGACATCTCTATAGCAAAAGAAAAACAAAGCTCTCCAGGTGGATAAGTAGCACATAAAATAAAAGGCTGGACTAGAGGTGTATTTCCTTTTCATTTGATTTTGGAAGTGGAAGGATTAAAATGTTGGGAGATGAACTCCCTATGGAGAGTTAAGGGAACTAGATGTGCCCAATCCAGTGTTTCTCAACCTTGACCATTTTAAGGCATGTGGACTTCAACTCCCAGAATTCCACAGCCAGCAATGCTGGCTGTGGAATTCTGGGAGTTGAAGTCCACATGCCTTAAAATGGTCAAGGTTGAGAAACACTGGCCTAATCTAACAAAGAGAAGGACTACTAGGGGGTTGACACAATAGCAGTTTTCCAATACCTGAAAGGCTATCAACAGAGAAGAGGGGATCGACCCATTCTCCAAAGGGTAAGACAAGAAGCAGTGGGTAGAAGTTGGTCAGAGGGTGACCCAGCCTGGAAATAAGGAGGATTGTCCTAATAGTGAAAATGATTAATCAATGGAACAGCTTCCCTCCTGGATTTGCTAATCAATGTTCCATCGCTGGAGGTTTTCAAGAGAAGACCGGACAACCAGGTTGATATAATGACTCCTGTTTTGGACAGGGAGTTGGATTAGAAAACCTTCAAGGTCCCTTCAAGCATTTCTTGAACTGGCATCCAGATGAAGAATGAGGCCTCCAGCTTGCCTGCCTGATTGATTTAGAATCCGCCTAGCTCCCTCTCAGAGGGACTCTGTGCAAATAATAAGATTTACTGTAAGGTTGCTTCTTCCAAGATTCACTTTAGGAGAAGTTAGCTGGTATTTATAAGCCAGACTGTGGGCCCCGTGTTTTTTTATTCACCAATATTGTGAACCAAACTCAACAAAAGGAAGTTTCATGGGCATTAGGAATTATCCGTCAAGCTGGTTGATGGCTTCACTTGCCCCATGAAAATTCAGTGACCCATCCCATTTTGCTCTAGCATGGAGAATTTGGGAAAAGCAAATGATTTGGTAAAAATACAGAAGCTGAGCCAAATGGAAGCTTGTGCTCCCCATGTCATTCTCTTCTTGTCCTTCTGGTGCAAATTATTTCAGTCAAGGAAATTGGCTCCCATTAATCTTATAACAAAGATTGTGGATGCGTTTCTGGTGAGGTTGTTGACAAGTCTTCTGAAACAATGATTAGAGAATGAACATGGCCCAAGTAGTCAAATCAAAAATATTCTGGAACAATATAATATAAACACACATAAATACTTAAATGGGTATCGTCCTCAATATTTTTCATGCGTCCCTTTTTCATATCCCAGATGTAAAATATTGAAACATGGGGTAGATTTGCACATTTCACTCAGCTACCATACAATTTCATTGCTTTAGCTTAGCATGAAGTGTGAATCCAGCCCCTGTAGTTTATGCAGCAAATTGGGATTAAAGTAGATGCCATTTAATCCAAAGTATAAAACAGATCACTTTCAAAGCAGTTTGCCACCAAAACCAACAGCAAATTTGGGAGATTTTTCTGGGGCTTCCTAAAATTCTTCCTTGAGCTAAAACCAAGATGGTGCATCAACCAATTACAGCATTTCTTCTTCTGGATAGGAAAAGAACAGGCAGAGCCTAGGGGTGGAGTTAGGAGAATAATCAAGCTAGAGTCATTGCTTTCCCACAAGCAGTCCAAGATCAAACCCTGTTAAATTCCATAAATTTAGTGCTGACCGTTAATTGACTAGATTCCTGTCTAAAGGCATGAGAAACAACTTAGTCTAACTGGAGCTTAAGATGTGGCCTTGATTCTGTGTACCCGACAGCCACACACTTTTTCACAGAAGCAAATATTCCTCCTTTTCTTCCTCTCAATAATGCAATGAAATTAGCAGACAAAATTATCCTTATCCCATTGAACACCTGAAGGTTACTCTGCTCCAGCATTTTCTCATGATAGCCAATGAAAGGCCACTCTGGAAGCAGAAGGTGGAGACATTTTCCCTCGCCTATTGTTTTGCTACAGCTGTATTCTCCATGAATTTATCCAATCCCCTGTTAAAGCCATCTGGTTTACTGGCCATCACAAGGCAGGACAAGAAGCAATGGATGGAAACTAACCAAGGAGAGAAGCAACCTAGAACTAAGGAGAAACTTCCTGACAGTTAGAACAATTAATCTGTGGAATGTCTTCCCTCCAGAATCGGTGAATGCTCCAACCCTGGAAGTTTTTAAGAAGAGACTGGACAGCCATTTGTCCAAAATGGTATAGGGTTTCCTGCCTGAGCAGGGGATTGGACTAGAAGACCTCCAAAGTCCCTTCCAACTTTATTATTATCATTATCAATATCATTATCATTATCATTAACATTAACATTATCATTATCATTAACTTACGATAACAAACTGCTAGCTAGGAGATTCTGAGAACTGAAAAGTCCACACATCTTAAAGTCGGTGAGGTTGAGAAACACTTTGCTAAAGACATCGACACCCTGTTATAGGACAACTATGCCTCCTCAATTCTTTTTGATAGCATTTGTGTCCTCTTATTTATTTTTATTTATTTATTCCATGTATATATGTCTGCCCATCTCAAGGATATGACTCTAGGTGGCTCACCATATAAAGAACAAAAATATATACAATATCAAAAAAAAAAAAAAACCACACAGCTGCCGGAGAATCATAGAAAGCCCTCAACATACCAAGGAAGAAAAGCATCAAAAAGAAGTGATAACGATGTGGACTTTCAGTATTTGATCTCACTTGGCTTTGAGAGAGTTAAAACGAAGCTAGGGCAACAAGTATTGGACCCAGGTCAACAAAAATACCTAAGTAGACTCCTCTTCTCTACCTGTTTTGGTGGTGGCCTCTCTGGAAGATCTTTCAACCAACCAATTATTGGATTATGACCTTGTGCTTGTCTCACTGGAGACCCTTTCGGGAGGAAGAGAGATTTCGTGTTCTGCCCTCCGAGGGAGACACAAAAACACTCCCAATGCAAAAACCTTTGTGTCCATTTGAACTTGAGACCCTTACTACATTTTCTACGTGGCTTCAAAGGTGCCTGTTTCACCCCACTCCCTTAGTAGGCCAGATAAGAAGAGCACAGTCCTCTTACCAACTGCTCCCAAAGATGCTTTTTCAAGAGGCAACTGGACTTTTTTGCTTTTCTTCTGCTGAAGAAGCTTCTTGGATGCGAAGCGAAACATCTTCAAAGGAAGTCCAGTTGCTTCTTGAAAAAGCACCTTTGGGACAACTGTGACCTGGATGACGGAGAATCTCCAGAGACATTTACCAGCTAGTCTTCAGAAATCTCAAGGATTGCCCCGTTTTCTTCTGTAGCTCTTACTGCTTGAGATTATGATGGGGTTGTTTTTATTTCTCCTCTCTCTTTCTCATTTTGAAGTTATCCTAAGATTATTATGTGTGGTTTAACGCTCTGAGAATGTTATTCTCTCTTCACTTCCTTTCGATTGTCTGCCTGATTATGTGTAATGTGTAACTGGCAGCTGGTCTTTGACCACAAATCAAGTTTATCCTTCTACTCCTAACGGGTCTCTTTCAGGCGACTTAATTTGCCCAGAAGTAATCTTTCCCACACCCCCTCGCCCCCACGACTGCAGCCTCTTTGAAATTCACAACATGACTTCGAATACAGATTGAAACGATCCAGGCGCTATTCAACGAACATTTTAATAGGGAGAAAGAATTACTAGCTCTGACTTTCTGCTTAGCAAGACAATATGCGATAAGAAAGGAATAGCAGTTCAGCTCGGGAGTCTCCCAAACATCTGCATTCACATCAGGCACAACTTCAATTAAGTTTCTCAGCAACTTTCCAAAACTTTACTAGATCAATCAAGGCTAAAGAAGGAACGTTAAATGCAGAGTGCCAGGAGGGAATCAATCCATTTCTGAACAATTTTTCTCGACCAACTGAAATAAATCTTCTAAGCTCCCTCCTCCCTCCCCTCTCTTTCTCTCGTTCTCTTTTTTTTCTTTCCTTCTTTCATCTGCAATTGTTTAAAGAAAGTCAGTGAAACATTTTTCTATCACGTGTCCTTCCTACAGTATGGTAACCTGCTTCGTAAACAACTGCCCAGAACACAAAGCCCTCTCTGATCAAGTAAGAAAAGCAAAGCAGGAAAGCCTTTCCCCCTTGAAAGGATTAATAAAAATCTAAAGGCTGAATCGTGATCCCTTTTAAAAACTTTCAGTCTCCACTGAAGGAGAATTTAATACTGACCTGAGCGGTCTCCATTCCCTTCCACTCCACTTTCTTGCTCGCTCATCGGCAAAAAAAAAAAAAAAAAATCTGCCTCTACGAAGAGCTTAGATAGGGCTTCCAGCCTCTTTCTGGCACTGCAAAAAAGAAAACACCCAATTCAGACGGTCCTTCCAACTTTGCAAAGTAAATCCAGGATCCTGGAGCAGGTTCGGACCCCGTCTTGACAGACAGCAGGGAAGAGGCTGGCGCAGGGGCCAAGCAGAGATCTGAACTCTGCCGATCCGCCTCATTCAATGAATAGCAAGCATTTCCCTTCCCTCCAGCAGTCATGCTGAGGAAAACCCACTGCTCTCCTGCTCCTTCCACAGCTGAGAATGCAGCTGAATTCAGGAGAGAGCTCAGATCCAGGAGACAGGTACCTCCACCTCCACCAAACCAGCCCTCATAGGTCAGGGGAAGCAGGTCAGTTGCAACCTGCAAATCAATTCATTAAAAGAGATGTTTGGGTGGCTAAATCCTATATATATATAGGATATATATAGGACATATATATACCAAACCAGCCCTCATAGGTCAGGGGAAGCAGGGCAGTTGCAACCTGCAAATCAGTTCAATAAAAGAGATGTTTGGGTGGCTAAATCCTATAGATATAGGATGGATATATATATATATATATATATATATATATATATATATATATATATATATATATATATATATATATAGGCACGAAGCTGAAAACACCAGCCTGAAGATGACGAATGGGACTTCGTCAAAACGTCGCCAAGACACTTCCAATTTTACGCGGGAGAAAATATATATGAATATGTGAATATAATATATTGCCTTTCCCCTTGTCTCCCCACCCGGCCAAGTTTGCTCTTATTTGCAACATTTGTTTCCCCCAGGAGGACCTAAATCTGAGGATTACTCAGCTCCAAGGAATGGCTTGCATAAGCCGTAAGGAAAATTTGCCAAATATGAAGGCTTTTCTGTCAAATATAAATAAGGCTAAGGCCATTCCAGACTGGGAAGAAGAAAGGGGGGTGGAAAGAAGGGGGCCAAGAAAACACATGGAAGCAAGCCAACCCATTGAGAAGCTCTGCTTTTATTGTCTCGATAAATATTATTGCAAGAGTTGAAGGAATGAGGTGTGCTTGGCCTTGCTTTTTTGTGCCCAAAGAGGAGGTGAGACAAGATACCCGGGAACCTGTCTGGGTGAAGGTAAGCTGCAAAGTAAAGTTCATGGCAATGACTTGCATGAATTATTGCAGTGGATGTTAAGAGTTAATTTCCCTTCATTGGTTGGGACAATCCATGGCTTGATGAATGTTGTTATAACAGGCTCTGTCCTTCTGTCCTGACTTTGTTGAACTGCCTGACCATTACTGGAGTCAATTCCAGGTTGTTCAACCCTACAAACCTTGATTAGAGTTCAGATCATGTTGCCAGTTAAAAATCCACTAAGAGGTACAAAATGTATATAAAATAAATGCCTTGTGGATCTTGCATTGAGATAGCTAGCTGGAAGGCAACTTGATAATTTAAAGTTACAAACTGGGTTCCTACCTTAAGGCATCAACTTTGGTCTTGGCTGGGAGTGGGTATCCAACCATAGTTTAAACCAGGGGTGTCCTACCTTGGCAACATTAAGACTTGTGGACTTCAACTCCCAGAATTTTCCATTTTAGGAAGAAAGGCAGTTATTTTGACTGTTCCAGCATTTCTGGATAAGTTCTTTCCTATTGCTGTCATCTAGGTCGGTCCTATGTGGACCACCTTCTGATGCCTCTTCTTTCATGCAAAGAGACAAACTGGAGAACAGAGACAACAAATGGTCTAAAGTAGAGGCATCAATTTTGGCAACTTTAAGACTTGTGGACTTGAACTTCCAGAATTCCCCAGCCAGCATTGGGAAGAGACACCCTGATCTGAAGGGTTTCTACCACAAAGGATCCTGGGAGCAAGGTTGGGTGCCCAGTTCTTACTGGACTTTGCAATGCCACCAGTGAACTCCATCCAGCATTCTCTTCACAAGTCTCCACCAATAAATGCATTTGTAAAGAAGATGCTCAAGAAAGGAGACAGGAATGAAATTTAGTCATCACAAAATGAAGGCAGACGAATTTGTGTTTTTTACAATTGACTATTGGGCAATGTAGGTGAAGAGGCTTACAAAGTAGCCACATTCTGGAAAGACAAATGATTCCGAAAGACCTAGAACAGACATGTCAAACACAAGGCCTGGGGCCCGGATGCGGCCCGCGAAGTGGTTTCATGTGGCCCGCAAAGCCATCTTGGAAACAGTGAGGGAACGGCCCCACTGCCTTGGCCCTGGTCCAGGCCGGCTGGGAGCCAATGTACAATTTTGTAGTGGCCATCTATGCTGAAACGCATTCAGTTTTAGCTCCACAAGGCTGTCTGGAAACAGCGAGGAACCGGCCCCTGCCGCGTCGGCCCCGCCCCCTGGGTGCACGATGGGGAGGTGTCACCCTTTGTGAGGAATGAAGAAATGGACCATGACTTGGCGGTCCCACCCCCTTCTGCCAGAGACCCTCAGATCTGTCTTACTCCTGCCCAGCCACCCACAGGCACCCTTGACGCGAATGATGTAGAACTGGCCACACTCACCCAGTAGGCCGCACCCACCCTGGCCACACACCTCCCCCGAGGACAACCGCAATGCTGATGCAACCCTCAATGAAATTGAGTTTGACACCCCTGACCTAGAGTTTTCAAAATTGTAGGTTGCCTTCCTTCTCTACCACTATATGGGAGCAACCAGATTTTAAAGCATCTCAACAACCTGACTGTATAGTGCTTGATTGCTTAGAAAGACCTTGTTCATTTTGCCTTTGTGGAATTGAAAAACAGATTGTCAAGAGCAGGGGTCTCCAAACTTGGCAACTTGAAGACGTGTGGACTTCAACTCACAGAATTCCTCAGCCAGCCACATCTTAAAGTTACCAAGTTTGGAGATCCTTGTTCAAGAGGGTGGGAGTTTTCAATCCTAGCCTACAAGCTTCCTTTGGATTTGTGAACTTTGCAAAGATGTGACAATATTTAGATAAATTCACTGGTCACGAGCTAGCATTTACTGGGAACTATAGGCAGTTATCGGCTCAGTAAGATTGGGAATATACAATATACTGTACAACCTTCACTCTACTTCAAAGTTTAAAGCAATAACATACATCTTATCTTTCACCTTGGGAAGATACCTCTAGAAAGGAAGATCTGAAAAAACCAGGCAATTAATAACAGGGGGACCCTGAACCTTTCTTCAGGGGTGTGATGTTCTGTATTGACTTGATATGACATTGCATGAATGCAGGTATTGTGTCTGCTGTGCATTGCAAATGCAGGAAAGAGGCAAAATTATGAGAGGCTGGAGGACTCCTTTACTATGGACAATGCGTAACAAAGAATCCGTAACATCTGAAATCATTCCAAAAATAAGGCGAAAGGTAAGACAATTTGGAAAGTGTCAGAGTCCATGTTTGCTAATAAAGGGCCACCTTGAATATTTTGATAGACTGAATCAAGAATCAGAATTGACACCAGTAGATTCTACAAGGTATCTCGAAAGCAAACTAGGTCACTTAATCTTGGCAAACCGTATTTATTATACCACATTTAATCCCACTTCAAAGCTAGATTGTTTATCTCATGTTAGTTAGTTAGTTAGTTAGTTAGTTAGTTAGTTAGTTAGTTAGTTAGTTAGTTAATTTTATCATCTTGCCCTACCTGATTCTCATAGGTATCTTTGCAGTACTTTTTCTTTAATGGAAAGGGACAATTTGCATTGTTGGGACTGTCAGCTCAAAGGCTCCTTGGGTCAAAGAAATTACTGGACCAGGAAATTAAAGAAGCAGAAAGAAACAGGCTGTAGCCTTGCTTCACTTCCTGCTAAACCTCACAAGATTGTTGTGAATATAAACATGGGGATGCTATACCCAGATCACTTTGCACTCCTCAGAGAAAAGGCAGAATCTAGAGATAATAAATAAACTAATACAATCACAGTAGTAGTAGTAGTAGTAGTAGTAGTAGTAGTAGTAGTAGTAATAATAATAATAATAATAATAATAATAATGCATGTCTATTGAGATTTTGATGATGGGCAGATTTCTTTAAATTCATTCTTTTTTAAAAAAAAATACAGCTGATTGTGCCAGGAAAAATGCTTAGTTGAGGAGAAACATCCTATGTATCTTCCCACCCATCACCCACCACTCTTTTGTTGGCCATAAATTTCTTTTTGTTTCCCCAAAACTGAGTTTTCTAAGAACAACCTTTCATACAAATGGAATAAAAGTATTGCGTGGTGCTCACTTGCACAAAACATCCAACTGTTTACAATCTGCTGCGTGCTTGCTTCATCTCTTTGTCTCTCCTTGTATATCTATAAACTTTAGAAAGCTCACATACGTACAAATATGCTCACAAAGGCTTCATCTCTTGTCCTCTGTCTCACTCACACACTCGCCCCCCCCTCCATTACGTGCTCAGACTTCCCAACACTTAGGGGCCCCAAAGTATTCACTATTATCAGTTGAGTCACGTCTAAAGCTCAGCAAAAGGTCATTTTAGGTCATTCCGGAGATGAAAGAAAGGAGCTAAAGTATGTGAAAGAGAGGAGGAGGAGGAGGAGGAGGAGGAGGAGGGAGGGGAGTGGAGGAGGAGGAGGAGGAGACTATTGAGGTGGGAGAACCAGATGGGTGATGGCAAAAAAACAAGGAGAGAAAAAAAATGAAAAACAGGAAGATGAAGAGGTGTCATCAGTCCAGAATTAAGCCTGATGTTATTCATTCCAAGATTCAGTTCAGGCAGGCATTCTGGCCTTCTCCAAAGCCCACCAGCTGAACTTGAATCTGTGTCAGTGCCAGGGAGATAGCTGTCCAAGGTCACCAATTTCATTCCTTCCCATCCTTCAGATTCCCCCCACACACACACACACTTTCTCTTTTTAAGTCCTCTAAGAGACCCTTTTCTAGGTTAGGGAGAGGAGGAAAGATCCTCCCTTGTACTCTAGGATCAATCTCTCTGCCTTTTCTTTGGGCTGAAGGGGAAAAAAGACCCAGAAAGAAAGACACATCCCTCATTTGTGATATCCATAGAGAATTGATTTTGCATTCAGGGGAGGGAAAGAAGAAGCATCGATGACATTGCCACAACTAATGTTCCTCCTTCCTTCCTTCCTTCCTTCCTTCCTTCCTTCCTTTGGAATTTTTATCAGATGCAGAAGATGGAGGTTGCTGGTAGAGGAGGTGGATGTCTCTGGAAATTTTGGCATCCTCCTTGGAGCATTTTACAATGTACCTAAAGCAGTGGTTCTCAATCTTTCTAATGCCACGACCCCATAATACAGTTCCCCATGTTGTGGTGACCCCC